GAGAAATTCTTCCAATTAGCAGATGCGTAAAATTATATCATTACCTCATCCAAACTGAACTTCTCTTGTGTCAGGAATGCACTTATTTTTTTTTTTTTTTTTTTAGATTTTATTCATTTATTTGACAGAGAGAGACACAGCAAGAACAGGGACACAAGCAGGGGGAGTGGGAGAGGGAGAAGCAGGCTTCCCGTGGAGCAGGGAGCCTGATGTGGGGCTCGATCCCAGGACCCTGGGATCATGACTCTAGCCGAAGGCAGATGCCTAACAACTGAGCCACCCAGGCGCCCCAGGAATGCACTTATTAACACAGCATGAACAGCTATAAATGCATCAGACAATTTTTGGAATCTGGAATCTTTAGAATGTAGGGCATAAGCTTAGAGCAGTCACAGAAACAGCTCATATGTGAAAGAAACTTGATAAATGTTTTTTCAAATTTAATAGAAATTCTAAAAATCTACATGATGTTATCAATAATGAGGTAAGAAGTCATAAAAACTTTTTTGAAATAATTAATCATAATAAGAAGCCAATTCGGATTAACCATGTTATAGGAAAGACTGAATTATCTTTTTTCTCTTCATAGTAAATATTACAAAATTATGTTTCATATAAAGAGACAAAGATAAAGAATTTGCCAGCCAAAAGGATGAATAAGCATTTAAAATATGGATTCCAAAAGTTGTTGCTCCCCAAAAATGTAGGACAAAAAGCATTATAAGGAATATGTCAGGCGATTAATAAAAATATAATTTTCTATGAATTTTGTGATTTTATGGCACTTTTCAACTTTTAAAATTTTGTAATTTTACAATTTCTTATTCTCAAAATATATTCCCTATTGCACTGAATCTAGCATTCTTTTTCTTTAAAAGGGTCTCCAAATGATAAATACTTCAGGCCTCCTGGAACCTACATCTACCTTTGTCCATCTACGGCCACATGGATATTATACTGGTACCTCACAATCAACATGCCCAAATCAGCAGTCCCCCCGCCCCACTCCCTGCACTCCCTCCCCACCATAAGTATCCCTCAGCCTCTCTCCAGAACTGTAGTTGCATCCACCCATTGTCAAACACAGACCCTAGTCATCCCTCATGACTCTTTCTCCTTTAGTCAACACACCCAATCCACCCCTCAGGTCTTATAGTTCTAGCTCCTCAAAATAGCTCATCGTCATTTCCTCCTTTTCAAACTGACCACCACTGCCCTAGTTCAGCCCGTGTTGGGAAAGATGCAGAGCCCTCCACTGGTCTCCTGGCTCTGATGCTACCTCATTGTCCCTCCTCAGATCTCTTCAGTGACTTTTCCCTCCTAATCCCACATCTGACTTTGTCACCCCCTACTCACATTTTTTTTTTTCAATTCCATCCTCCATCCAGATCCTTTGGTGGGACCCTGAAAGGCCCTCCCAGGTATGGATATTGCCTAACTCCATAACATCATTTCTCTGATCCTTTCTCTAGCCCCCCCAAACTCCATTTACGTTCCAGGAATACTGAATTAATTTCAGTCCATCAAACATGCCTTATTATTTCTTCTCAGTAGACCATAAATCTCTCTTCATGCATGTGTCTGCTTGGCAAACTCTTCATTCCTCAAGTCTCAGTTTAGAACCTACCTCTGCTGTGAAGCCTTGCCTGACTCCTCTGCCCTCCACCACACTCACAACTACTCCTAGCAACCACCATGTTCTGCAAAGAGCAGCCTTTACTTATTACACTGTAAGCATTTGCTCCCTACCTATATGGGATGACACCTATCTGATCACCTGCTCTCTTTGATCCTCATTGGTTGATGAATGAATTTCTCCTCCCTACCCCATCCCTGGTTCCTGAATTTCCAGTGAAAGATTGAGATAAGTTGACACAGGTGGATTTAAAGTATGGATGCCAAAAGCTTACCTGTGATTTCTCTTTCTGTCTCTTTAGTTGGAGGAATGAGTGTGGGAACATGTAGGTTATATATGAAAAACTTTTACTACGGAATTGTTTGAACATTTTACAAAAAAACACATTACTTTTCTAATTAGAAAAATGCCTAACTCAGGAACAGCCGTGATAGTTCCATGTTTTCAGCTGTGATGAAAAGATCTTGAAACTTCATGTCTTGCTTTTTTCAACCACTTTACTTTCTGAATTATGTAAAGGGAGATCAGTCTTCTCCTTTTGAGTAAGTTTTTCAGCAGCTTCTATGAATTTTATCCAGTAGCAAAAAAGAGGCTTTGGCCTCATCCATCCATCCATCCAACCATCCATCCATCCATCCATCCATCCATCCATCCATCCATCCATCCATCCATTTTTAGGCGAGGTGATATATTCCCATGGTTCAAACTTCAAAAGATAAAACATTCTCCCTCCCCACCTCTGTGCCCCAGGCACTCCTCCTCCAGGCACATTGTTATTTGCTGCATCTCCTTCCAGGCTATTTTATGTATTTACAAGCAAATGTTTCTTAACATTTTTATCTGAAAAAATACTTGTTTTAGTCAGCTTGGGCTGTCATAACATAAACTGGGTGGCTTATACATCAAAAATGTATTTCCTCACAGTTCTGGAGGCCGGAAGTCTGAGACCAAGGTGCCCACATGGTGGGTTCTGGTGAGGCTTCAGGGTTTATAGATGGCACCTCCCTGCTGTGTCCTCACAAGGAGGAGAGAGAGTGACCCAGTTCTCTGGTTTCTCTTCTAATAAGAGCACTAATCCCATAGTGAGGACTTCACCTTCATGATCTCCTTTAAACCAAATTATCTCCCAAAGGACCCATCTCTAAATACTATCACTGTGAGGGGTGGGGCTTCAATATAGGAATTTGAGGTGGAGGGAGACATAATTCAGTCCACAGCAATATTGGTTTCTAAAAATAAAACAGAACAAGCTTATATGCAGCGCCAACTGCTCTTTTTCTTCCTAAATGGAGCTTACCAAAATATAAATATGACATTTTTTGTAGCACATCGCTTTCCACCCTCTCCTCTTCCGTTGTTTTTTCATAGCACTTAGAGAATAGTTCTAAAATAGTTCTGCACCTTTCCTGTGCAACCCCTTAGGACAGTATTCAGGGCTCTTCAAGATTCTCATTCCAAACTCTCTTCCCTGCTTAACACTGGGGGACACCCTGCACCCTCCAATGGCGGCGCACCTGCAGACGGCATGCACCCTCCAATGGCGGCACCCTGAATGCCCTGGGCAGACTTTAAGTGCTTACCTCATGGAATTTCCTGTTTGGAAGCTCCACCCCACAATTCTTTCTCCAATGTCTGTTCGAATTAGTAATTTGCCCCTCTATGTTCTCATCTCACTTTATAGCGTAATTTACAGTGTAAATGCCAGAATAAAATTCTAAGTAATCATGTGTTCTCCCACCTCCAACACTTACAGCAGGAATTGTATCTGATTAATTTTGTGTCTGTAAAGTACTTTAGAGACGCTAAATTCAAGTTGGCCCGAAGAATTAATAAACTGTATTTGCGAAGACGATAGCACGAATTTACAATAACCCCTGAAAGTTTAAAAACAAAGGTAACTGAGTTAAATTGAAAAATCTAGCATCGCAGCTGTGGAAGCTTGTGGTCTTCTTTATGTTGAATGTAGAATGGATATAATGAATTACTAGCTGTTTTTAGATGCTATAAAATGAACGCCTCGCTAAGGCATCCCAAAGATGAATATATATATATGTACTCATTAAAATCAGTACCCTGAACTGGCAGAGAACAGTTTTCTTCCCTAGAGCACTTCTCTGGGGTAGTCAGTTTTCATTTAAAATGTGAATTTGGGATTTTAAAAGTAAATTTTAAAAGTTCTTAGGTTTGGGCAGAGATTTCAGAACCCCCTACTTCCGATGTGAATCCCAAATATTCTCTGTCACCTAGGAGCATAAAATTGTTAAGGCCATGCGTTCATACCACAAATAGTGCCAGATGACAAATGCTGCTCCCTGTGTAAAAGGGCACTAAACACTTAAATGCATGTGATATACTAGCTCCCTTCTTTATCCTAATGTGGGTCTTTTTTTTTTTTTTAATGGAACACGTCACCAATTTGTGTCATCCTTGGGCAGGGACCAGGCTAATCTTCTGTGTATAGTTCCAGTTTTACCAACTGTGCTGCCCAAGTGAGCACCTAATCTGGGCCTTTTAATAGTATTTTGTAGAGTTCATGGTAATCAGTCTTTGTCCTACATCCCATTAAGGGTGGTGCAAAGAGAAGCCCTTATTAGGGGACTCTTCTTATCATTTCTATTTTACTCTTATTTTCTTAAAAACTTAAATAATGATGTTCAAGCACAGACATCTCTCTTAAGGTTATGGTGGAGGGCAATGAGAGAGAGAGTTTTTGATACTCTTATTATTTAAATAATTTAGATCCCTTTTTTTTTTTCCCTCTCCTGGAATTGTGAATTTTGTTTTAAAAAACAACTAAAATTCTGATGTGAAATATTTTAAAATTTAAAAATGTGAAATTTTGTTTTTAATTTTTAAATAAGCAGAATTTTTAAATAAATAGAATTTTAAACAAAAAGTTTAAAAAGTAAGGTAAAAACAAAGTATATATATGTGTGTGTGTGAAATGTGCTCCTTTGGCCCAGCCGGAAAATCATCCACTTAGAAAAACATAAATATACAGTAGCTTTAAGTATTAGAAGTGAAAATAATGGAATCTGAATGTAAATGTAGTATCAGTGTTGTGATGAGATATTTGAGTGCAGTAAGTTTTAATTGTGCCAATACTGGAAGGGTAAAAACCCGACCCATGGCGAACAGTAGATTTCCGACGACCAGAAACAGTAGGACGACGCTCCCCTGCGATGAAAGAAAGCGCCTGCGCTCAGACTCAGTTGGCGCCCGCCCTCTTGCTTTTTCTCCAGCCGCCGTTTCCACTCTCTTTCGCGCTTCAGCCACCCGGGAAGCCCAGCACCAAGCGTCGCTGGGCTCCGATTGGCTCCTTTGAAAGTCTACGGACTACCTGATTGGTGGCCCCGGGCCCTTTAGCGCGGTGAGTTTGAAACAGCTCGCACTTAGCTGCAAAGCTGGCTCTTGGAAGTTGAGGCAAGAGCGACGCCGACGTGGTAGCCGCCGCCGCTTTCGTCGCGGGATAATAAGCCGGGTAGAGTTGCTGAGGTCAGGGTCATGCCTACGGGGCGTCTACTCGGCGGGGGCCTGCTCGGAGACCCCGGAGAAGGAGTATTGAGGAACCGGGTGGTATTAGGAGGCCGGACTGGGCAGCAGGGGTCTGCGCGGGGCCGGGCCTCTGGAAGCTAGGCCGCGCCTTCACTCGGGCCCCGGGGGCCTGGGCGTGTGAGCGACGCCGGGGCCCGGCTTTCCCGGAAGGCTCGCGGGAGCCCAGACCCGGCGGGCATACCGCGGGGAGGGCAGGGGCTGCCCTGGCCTCGGAGTTGCAGTCTGGGGTCGCGGTGGGCAGTTCTCGCGAAGAGGCCGCCGACCTGGCTGAGGAGACTTTCGGGTCCTGCGTGAAGCCAAACCCTTGCACTGGTTCGACGACGCGGATTTCCAGGCTCCGTCCTAGGCCCTGCGGTTCCGGCCGGTCCCGCGTGCGCTCTGCTCTAGCCTCCGGGGGTGGAAAGCCAGACCGCACCTGGGTCAGGTACCCACGCCGGTTCCCAAAGCCGGGCCGTCCCGGAACACCGATCGGATGAACTGACTTGTGGGCCTTCTCGGACTTCCCTCCGTGCCCAAGGCCCTTGTGCCCCCAGAGCTTTTAAGAACACCTGGCCAAGGATAGAACCAGAGGGAATTTGGATTTTTTCGTTTTTCTTTTATGCTTGGTGACTGTTAAATACTATGCAAGGCGGAAAGCTAAGAAATGCCGAGAGATACGTATATGTGTGTTTTAGTATCCCTTAATTTTTGTTTAATACTAGGGTTACCAATGTGCACGTCTTGCTTCCTTTAAAGACCTGGAGGTCTCTAGATAGGAGATGAAGCTGTTGGTGTTTTACATACTGCTGCTAGTAGTACAGAGCCTCAGAAGGCATTCAAAAGGCATTTTAAAGCTTCATCCTTTATATTAAATTGTTAGAACAGGAAAATGGAGAGAGGGGAATGAAACCCAGCTTTGAAATTTATTGTTCAAAGTGAGCTCAACAATTTTACTGTTCTTTAGGCATAGTAAATCTGGATATTGTAGAAAAAGGTGATTATCCTAATTATTGCCGTTTTGTAAAATTGAAATAAAAAATATCTAAGATTGGCACTCGTGGCCAGTGTAGTGCAATTTTGTTCATTTAAAAAGGTTTGTCTCTACTTCTGGAATGATTTTGAAGATGACTGGGAGAAATAGAACTTAAGTGTCAATTACTCAGTGACCTTCATATATGATTTTAGTGATGAGTGTGTTAGAAAATCAGAGTAATTATGCTTGGGCTTCTGAAGATGTTTCAATGGCCAACTTCTCAGCTGAGGAAGTCTTGAATGTCTCCTTGTCAGCATTTCAACTGACATTTGAGCAATCTTGCTAATGGGTGAGCAGTGTGGCCACATTAGCTCTCTGTTTGTGTCTTTAAATATTTTTCCTTTTGAATTTTCTTCAAAAAAAAATGTAAAGTACAAATTGAGTCCAATAACATTATTTGTGGAAGTGTTTGGGTATAACTGACACACATTGGTGCTCCTTAGAAGTGTTACATAAAGAAAACATACTTCTGGTTTTTGTTTGGAAGGGATAGATAAGTTGATAGCTGAATTTGAGGGTTAATTTGACTGGAAGAAGCTAAATATTACGCTGGTTAAGATATACAGATCTAGTGTTTTAAGAGCTAACAAAGATGGAAAAATCTTATTGCAGAAGTCCTTTCCTTTGTAAGTGTTGTTTTAACATAACTAATATTTATGGAAAATTAATACTGCACTAGACACTGGAAAATGCTTTACATATTGTATCTCATTAAAAAAACCACCTTTTGAGTTAGTGGCATGAGATCAAATCAGCTTTTCCTCTCATTTTAGGATCTACCAAATCTGCTGATTAACTATGGAAGATTATACCAAAATAGAGAAAATTGGAGAAGGTGAGTGGTTTTAATAATAAAGTTTTTAAAAAATGATTTAGTAATGCTATAAATCTGGGACATGAAAACATGTAAATATTTATTAAAATCCAGTCTTTAAGGTATCCTGTGCTAATGTGCATTAATTATATGTTCTTTACATGGTAACTTGTAAAATGTTCAGATTTTAAGAAAGTTGAAATTATTCTGATATGATTCCCTGTCTACCCTCTCCATCCCCCTAATAGTCTTACATTTTAAAATACTAAACACTTAATATTTGTATTTTCAGAAGACTATTGATACCTTGTATGTGTGTTGGTGGGGAGAGGTTAGGTGATCCTGAAGGCGCTGACCTATGAGGAGAAGCGGGAGAATTATGTTAAGTTTAATACTGTACTTCTAGTCTCATACAATTATTTTTAAGATCAGTATTTTTACCTAAACTTTGTAAATTAGTACAATAGACTATTAAACCAATTTAAATAAATTTCCTATTTAGTTTCCTTAGATTTAAATGACCTGTTATGTGTACATGTTTAAGCAAATTTAAAACAAATAACTCTTGTATATAATCATTCATTTCCTTTCTGTAGTACTTAAAGTTTCTAAAGAATGTTTATGTGGCATAAATGGAAGAGTAAAAGTATCCCTTTGCCTTTTTTTCCAACAGAATATCTAAGTTTCTATTAAGTTGGTATTTACATTCTACACTCTAGGAACAAATGGTACAGCTTGTACAAAGTAATTTGCTATTAGAGTCCAATTTAGATAGGTTCTGTTTGAGGAACATTTCCAACTAGTATATTTTTAGTGTGTTCCCAAACCCTATTTGTATAAGGAATACTACTAAAAATCCGGGGGCGGAGTACTGGAAAGAATTTAGTGAGATAGTAATGATAAGTTTAGGTGGTGATTGGTTTAGAGATCTATTCTTTTTCTTAACTTACAAATACTATATGATATTTTTAAAAATCACTTAAATACTTTGTAATACCCGCTCAATTAAGCTAATTTTGTTTCTGAGTTGAAAATAAGAAAATATCTACTGTCTTCTGCTTTGAGTTTTTCTTAATCCCCAGAGAATTAAATGAGTGCTGATTTTTAGTTTGGAACAAAAAGTTATTCTTAAAGTGTAAATGTGTTTTTCTTTAAAACTCTGGAACTCCTAACATGCAGGAGACTACAGATTTGACTCTTGAGAAGAGGTACTCTAATTGAAATACAAGCAGTAAAGAGTATAATTTCAAATGTAGTCTTATTTCCTGGAGTTAAAAGATTCCATTCTACTGCATGATGTCCTCATATTCCCAATTCACTGACCCCTGGGCTTTTGGCAATGGCTGTTCTTTCACCTTGAAAGCCACTCTCTGCTGCCTTCACTTTCATCTCCTTGTTCTAGTCCAAGTGCATTTTGTAGTTCCCTTTTTGTTATCCTTAATATCCTTTTTCTTTACTACATTGTAAGTAAGCTTTATGAAGTTTGGGATTTTGTCTTGTTCGTAAGTGTTTGAACAGGCAGTAGTGTCTAGCACTATTGGAGATATTAAAATATTTGATAATAACGTTATCTACTTTTCTTTGTGTGTTTTCCTCTGTTTCTTTCTGGTTTGTATTGTGTTGACTACTCCAGTGCCTGGCTGTTTTGGATTTTGTGGTGGACACGTTTTTGAAAAAATAAATTGTATGAATAATTTAAGGCCTAGATGATACCTTTCACACAGTATTTTCTTTTGGTTTGCCAGATACCTGGTCAAATTCTACTAGCATTAAAGTAACAATTTGAAAAGTTAAATTTCTTTCCCTCAACTTTATTTTATTTCCAAACATAGAGAAGTTGAAAGATAAATTCAATGAACCTGTAATACCTTTTACCAAGATGTTAATTTTGTCACATTTACTTTATTATCTGTGTGTGTTTTTAGCATTTTGTTTTTCTTTTGACCCATGTAAAGTAAATTGTAGAGATGTGCTTTACTACTAAATACTTTTGTATGTATCTTCTGAAGAACTAGCCAATGTCATGCATTTCATTTGGTGACTAATGTCTCCTTAATCTTTTTCTAATTTAGAATAGTCATCCTGACTTTTCCACCTTGACACTTGAGTTTTTTGACAACTTGATTCATTTCTTAAATACATCTAGACTTTTCTTGTTTTAGTTATTACAAAGGTGTTCTCTGGTTTCTTCTGAATTACAAAGATCTGAGTGTTGTCACATTCTGTTATAAGAAAACATCTTTTTGGATCATAGAGAGTAGCTATATCCATGATGTGGGACCTAACTTGGCCTTTATTCACTCAATAAACATTTGATTAAAGTTTTTATGCTTACCATTTAGAGTCTCCAGAACTTGACCATAACTAACATTATTTTTTTAATTTAATAATGTGTAGTTCGGGGTGGTTGGGTGGCTCATTTGGTTAAGCATCTGCCTTTGGCTCAGGTCACGATCCCAGGGTCCTGGGATCATGAGTCCCACATCTGGTTTCCTGCTCAGCAGGGAGCCTGCTTCTCCCTCTCCTTCTGCCTGCCGCTTCCCCTGCTTGTGCTCTCTGTCAAATAAATAAAATCTTTTTAAAAAATATAATAATGTGTAGTTCATTTCAGAGTATATATTATGCATTTCATAAATAATTTTTGGTGCTTAACCAGCAGAATCATTCTGCTTTGTTTAACTAGAGCTCTGTACTAGTAGTTATAAGAGTGGTAATGGTTCATAGAGTCAGAAGAGAGACATAGAGCATTGTGATGTCTAAAATTGAATAAATACTAAGGGTTAGATATAAGTTAGTTAATTGTTATAAGTAAATTTTAGGCCCAGATGAGATTGTACAGGAGAGAGAGGAATAGTAGGGGAAAAAATTAGTTCTGAATTTACCATTAACTGCTTATTATGCAATTGACGAATCTTGAATTTGCTTTAACAGTGTGCCAGGTAATTGTGCTACTGACTTACCTACTTTTGTGGTTTTTGATGCAAGAATAATTTATATCCAAAAAATGGACAGACTTTAATTGAACAGAAGGTTATTTTTAAGGATGGTTGTGAAGATCAATAAAATCAGGGTTTTTGTTTTTTTTTTTTTAAATTTTATTATGTTATGTTAGTCACCATACAGTACATCATTAGTTTTTGGTGTAGTGATCCACGATCCATTGTTTGCGTATAACACCCAGTGCTCCATGCAGTACGTGCCCTCCTTAATACCCATCACTGGGCTAACCAATCCCCCTTCTCCCCCCCCCCCAAAACCCTGTTTGTTTCTCAGGTCCATAGTCTCTCATGGTTCATCTCTCCCTCCAATTCCCCCCGCCCATTTTTCCCTTCCTTCTCCTAATGTCCTCCATGTTATTCCTTATGTTCCACAAATAAGTGAAACCATATGATAATTGACTTTCTCTGCTTGACTTATTTCACTTAGCATAATCTCAGGGTTTTTTAAATCTGGAATAACTTTGGTTATCCAAAAGTCACACTTAACCCAAATTTAGTCAAAATAATGTAAAATTTTAGGCTCTTAAGTCAATTATGTCTTTAAAATCATACCACTATTTAGGAAGGCAGACAATTGTATAGAATTTCTCTGTTTAAAACAAAATTAGAACAAAGTTTATGTAACATCACCAAACCACCCTTAATATTCTAATTAAGCCAGGAGATAATTTGATAGTAGTTCTTAGCCTTTTTTGAAATATTGCTACCTTTGGAGAAACTGATAAAACTATAGATCTCCTTAGAAAAATGGACTCTAATCACTTTTGAAGTTAAACCGTTGTAAAGAGAAATAGCAGGTTATTCAGAATTTTATGTAGTCAAGAAGTTCAAGATCTCCCTATATTTTCCAACCTGAATTTAAAATTTTTATTTATCTGTTTATTTAAGATTTTATTTAGTTTTTAAGTAGGCTCCACACCCAACATGGGGCTTAACCTCACAACCCTGAGATCAAGGTCATGCTCTGCCTACTGAGCCAGCTGGGCACCCCTCCAACCACAGTTTTAAAAAGCACTTATCTCGGGGCACCTGGGTGGCTCAGTCGTTAAGCATCTGCCTTTGGCTTAGGTCATGATCCCAGGGTTCTGGGATCGAGCCCCGCATTGGGCTCCCTGTTCTATGGGAAGCCTGCTTCTCCCTCTCCCACTCCCCCTGCTTGTTCGTTCCTTCTCTCACTGTGTCTCTCTGTCAAATAAATAAAAATCTTAATTAAAAAAAAAAAAAAAAGGAGCACTTATCTGGGACTAAATGTATCCTGTATATGAATTTTTTTAAATTTAAGGTTTATGCATATTTATTTTTGGGGGGAGTGAGAGTGAGCATACAAGCAGAGGGGGGGTGGCAGGCAGAAGGAGAAGCAGGCTCCCCGCTGAGCAAGGACCCCCCAATGCTGGACTTGATCCCAGGGTCCTGGGGTCATGACCTGAGCCGAAGACAGACCTAAACCAACTGAGTCACCCAGGCATCCCATTGTATATGAACTTTTTAAACTAGTTCATCTCCCTTAATATTGCCGCTTCTGTTCTCTGTATCCACCCTCCTCCTGCCCAAGATTTCTTATACTGACATTGTTGCTCATTATCTGAAGCTTATATATCAGAATCTGTGTTCTTGTTAACTTCCAAATGGGTGTGAGGCTTTCATACTATATAGTAGATATTTTGAACTTTATTAAATTTACTAAATTTGCTAAATATTTCCCAAATATTTAGTAAAATATTTTAGCTCCATTTTTTCTATTTGAAATGCATAAAACACTCTCTACAGTTTTCTGAAAGTGTGACAGTGACTCCTATTAATAATTCCTCAGCCCAAATCATCTTCACCCTATATTTTATGCCTGCTTTATTGTTGGGTGGGATATTTGAAAGGAGATAAATCTCAATCGGCAAAGGATCCATTTTCTTTTCTTCTCTAAAATGTGCTGGGAAATTATTGGTAATTTAAATGTATGGGAAAATTGTGACAACTACATGAATTTTATTTCTAAACTATAGACATGATAGCTTGTAGTTAGCCTCAGTTTCTTTTTGGAAGTGATGAGGGTATAATTATGAGTAAGACACTTCCTATCTGGTCACAGTAGACATTTCTATCATGTGACACTTAATGGGATCAGTCATTTTTTAAAATCTTAGTTTGTGGAGGGTTTCATATAGTAGACATTTACTTTGTCTGTTTCAGGTACCTATGGAGTTGTGTATAAGGGTAGACACAAAACTACAGGTCAAGTGGTAGCCATGAAGAAAATCAGACTAGAAAGTGAAGAGGAAGGGGTTCCTAGTACTGCAATTCGGGAAATTTCTCTATTAAAAGAACTTCGTCATCCAAATATAGTCAGGTATGGTATATCTGAATTTAAACCATTTTCCGCATACTATTTCAAATGTGAATTTCAATGTGGAAATTTTTACATTTGCTTAATATCTGGTCTAACTTTGCTGAGCGGAATAGAACCCTACTATTTTTGTTCAGTGGGAATGCCAGGCATAGGAAGAATAGGCTTAAAGCAGGAACAGAGTTAGAGGAGCTTGGTAATAAGAGATTTGTTACCTGGAAAATCAAGGTAAACTGGCCAAGGGAGAAAAGGAAATCCTTTTTCACAGACCTTTATCACCGATACCAATCTGAGCTCTGGTCCTTGAAGACCCCTTAGTCAGAGTCCTAAGACAGGTAGCTAGGTCAGATGAAAAAAATTTTTTTTCTTTAAGTATTTGGATTGGTGTTTGGAGATTTGTTTCCTAATAGTCCAAGTTAGGGTTTAATTGCATTTTTCTGGGGCTGGAAATAGTGAGCAACTGTTAAGGGTTCCTAGTAAATTTTAAAATTTATTTCTATAATTTACTTCATTGGAAAGACAAGGTCTGAGCAACAGTCAACCTAAAAATGTTCTAAATGTCTTTTTTTTTAAAGAAATGTTCTTTTGAAATATAAGTGATTTAATAGTTAGCACCTTCAGCATAATATGACTTAATTTTCATTTGCTGTCCTGAATGTCCTTTCTCAAATTCTAGTTTAGTACTAAAGGTTTTCACTACTAGGGAAGCTACCATCTTTTCTTTCCCAAAACTATGTATTTTTTGTTATAGAAAATTTCTTACAGTCTCACTTTCTGTGATAGCCATTGTTAAATTTACGGAAGTTTTATTTTGTGAGAGGTCAAAAGTGTTTGGTAGATTTTTTTTTCCACATGATTATTTTATTCTCTAGTCTTCAAGATGTGCTTATGCAAGATGCCAGGTTATATCTCATCTTTGAATTCCTTTCCATGGATCTCAAGAAATACTTAGATTCCATCCCTCCTGGTCAGTTCATGGATTCTTCACTTGTTAAGGTAAGAAGCTTATTTAATTTTATTAGTATTTATCCACTTACTAAATTTATTAGTATTTATCTTACTTAATTTTATTAGTATTTATCCTCTGAGTGTAAAGGGTCTACTCTAGAAGTTCTGTATTTTGGGGGAATATGCTTAGAAAAAATGTTAGTAGAAAGAGGAAGAAAATATTTTTCTTCCACAGTGTATAGATTAAAGTTACCCTTTTTATTAGTAGATAGTGCTTCTAGTTATAAAGTGAAAAGCAGTGCCTGGGATAACATAAAACCATTAAGTATGTATTCCATTGTTGGAAACTAGGATATTTTGGTCTTTATTTGGCAGTCAGCTGTGTGTAAAACAATGTAACAAGCTTGGTAGGGTAATGACAGCAAGTGGTTTTATTTTATTCTGGTTTTGAATGTTTTAATTTATTGTTGACATATTTCAGTTAAATTATAAATGTATCATTTTTTTTTTTAAAGCATTGTAATCTATAAAGTAGATTTGTCTTTCCTTTAACTGTACCAATACCAAACCACTCCTCAGGGGTAGGTAGCCATTGTTAGTTTTTTAGTAGTCTTAACAGATGCTTGTATGTCAACTTTGTATATACACATACACTGTTTTACAGAACGGTAAAACCCTTTTTCTGTGAGACATTCAGCATAGGTTGCCCATCTATCTAAATATTTGATCTAATTATTTATTTTTAAAGATTTTATTTATTTATTTGAGAGTGAGAACGAGCAGGGGGTAGGGGTAGGGGCAGAGGGAGAGGGAGAAGCAGACTCCTTGCTGAGCAGGGACCACCCCCCCCTCCCCAAAGCAGGGCTCAATCCCAGGACCCTGAGATCATGACTTGAGCCCTGAGCCAAAGGCAGACGCTTAACTGACTGAGTCACCCAGACACCCCTGATCTAATTATTTAAACCAATTCCATACTGATAGACATTGAAGTCGTATTCCAACTCGGTGATTTATGCTCTCATGAACCATGCCCCAGTGAATCCTTATGTTTATTTGTGGTCATTTGCAACTTTATAGAATAAATTCTATTTTTTTTTTTTAGATTTTATTTATTTGATAAGAGTACCAGCGAGTGCACGAGAGTGGTGGGGAGGAGCAGAGGGAAAGGGACAAGCAGACTCCGTGCTGTGTGCGGAGCTGGACTTGGGGCTCAGTCTCACAACCCTGAGATCTTGACCTGAGCTGCAACCAAGAGTTGGATGCTTAACTGACTGAGCCACCCAGGTGCCCCTAGAATAAATTCTTATAGCTTTAATCAGTGAGTTGAAGATGTTCATTTACATTTAAAATCTTGATAATGCCAGTTGCCCTCTAAACAATAGTAGCACTTTACTCATCGTGGTGTGTGACGGTTATTTTTTTTAGCACCTACTTCTATCAATCTTGTAAATATTTTATCAGTCCATTATGTGAAAAAAGCATATTATCATTTTGTATCTCATTTAATAATTTTTCATTTTTAGCTATTTATAAACAGCCTATACGTAATTCTTTTTTAAAAATATTATTTTAAGTAATCTCTACTCCCAATGTGGGGCTCAGACTCAAGAGTCGCACTCTGTTCTGACTGGGCCAGCCAGACGCCTCAGTCAATTCAGTCTTTTTTTTTTGTTTTTCAACAGTTGATTTTATGTATTATTTGTAATTTTGAACTTTATAAGTCAATACTATTGCTATGTGTACTTTATATTTCTGTAATACCCCTGTTGCTTCAAATGACAATTACATTGTCTGGCAACACCTGTCTTACACAATATTTTTCTCTGAACTAATAAATAGCATGTTATGATAATTACCTTTATTTAAATATATAATCATAATATCCTGTTTGTTATTTCTTTTGGAATCTATGACTAGTGTTTCCAAAGAAGAAATTAATATGTAATGATAAATAGAAATGGACCAACCTTATTCAAAATAAAAAGAGTTGCTATAAACATACAGACTAAAGTTTAAAAAACTGTCTGTGGGGCGCCCCGGTGGCTCAGTTGGTTAAGCATCTGCCTTCGGCTCCGGGTCCTGGGATTGAGCCCCGTGTCCAGCTCCCTGCTCAGTGGGGAGTTGGCTGCTCCCTCTCCGTCTGCCCCTCCCCCTCCACTTGTGCTCTGTCTCTCACTTTCTCTCTCAAGTAAATAAGTAAAATCTTTAAAATAAAAAACTACAGAACTTAAGAATTGGGTACAAAAAATAGTAGAAGACTAAATGAGTTCATATGGATATGGATGTGTCCATAAGGAAAATATCTTTGTCTCAGGTATACAAACATGATACTGTATATCAATGGGCTTCCCACCCCCAAATGCTGCTTGTTAGTCTCAAATGCCTGAAAGCGTTTGTGGTCGTTAAATTATTTCCCTGCATTATAATTTCTTATATCTTAGAAACAAACCCACCAAGATTATTTAGAAAATCATTATGTGGGACAGTTAAGTTTCTAACTAATTTCCTTCTTCCAGAGTTATTTGTACCAAATCCTACAAGGGATTGTGTTTTGCCACTCCAGAAGAGTTCTGCACAGAGACTTAAAACCTCAAAATCTATTGATTGATGACAAAGGAACAATTAAACTGGCTGATTTTGGCCTTGCCAGAGCTTTTGGAATACCTATTAGAGTATACACACATGAGGTATGTAGAATAGTGTTTTTTGGTGCTTTTGAGTAATTGTGATTGCTGGCTTGTTTTCTGTATTTGTTCATTAAGTCAAACACTCAATAAGAAAGATTTCCATCCTGCCAGCATGAATTTATTGCCTCTCAGCTCCAAACTCACTCTTCATTGCATGCTATGTGAAAATCTAACGGGGCCTTTAAATATTCTTTCTTTGCCCACAAGCGTGATGGCTGTAGCAGGTGTGGGGAGAGGCACTGCCGGAGGAAGGGGTTTTCCTTGCTACAGTTCTAAGAGTTATTCCTTATTAGTTAGTCTCTTTTTCTAACCCTCTTTTGTTTAATAATCCTTCTTAGTAAACCTTCCCCAAGCAAATCACCGTGTAGTTTCTGTCTCCTGATTGGATCCTCTCTGGTACACAAATTGGTAAAAGAGAGGTTTTGTTGCTTATGGGTTACTGTTTCAGACATATTTAGAAACTACTGAATATAATCAAGTTTTGTCCATGTTCCACAGATGACTTGGCATTTCATTTGTTACTTCCAGAGGGAAAGAGAGTGTTGACTTCTATAGTAAAGGACTTCTGGAAGATGGTTTTCTGTGGCATTGTCTATCCCTGAGCCCAAAGACTATCTCCAAATCAGAACTTATAACATTGTTCATTTGGTTAGATGTATTGGCTTATTTTCATCATTTTTCCTATGGCTGTATAAAAAAGTAAAGATTATTTGGTTCCCATTGGCTTAAACAGTTGCTACTGACCTCATTAAGTTAGAGATGATATTTTTACCATCGTGATAAATTATAGATACTAAAATAGTAGATCAGCTCTGACCACTAATAAACTTATTTGACTTGCTCATGTTTTTAGCATGTAAGCAGTGTATGTATGTACATTGTACAGTGTCACACCCAAATCCATTATCAGTGGCTTTTTTTTTTTAAGTGAATGCTGTCTTGACTATTTTGATTCTTGGACTTTAATGATTTGAAAAGCAAGAAAAGAGCTGGTATGCTTTTATCTGATGTTTTTTTTTTTTTTTTTTTAACCCCCTCGTGAATAGAACTTACAAATGAAATATTTATCTTCCATTTATTATTTTGTGTATAGTTAGTTGACTTTCAAGCAATGTTATCAGAGGCAACCATGGAACCTTTTAAAGGACAGTCCTACTGAAATATAAAAGTGTATATTTAGTAATTTAATGCACTGCATTTATTCAGTGTAAAAATTTGCTTTGTAATAGGTGGTAACACTCTGGTATAGATCGCCAGAAGTATTGCTGGGGTCAGCTCGCTACTCGACTCCAGTTGACATTTGGAGTATAGGCACCATATTTGCAGAATTAGCAACCAAGAAACCACTTTTCCATGGGGATTCAGAAATCGATCAACTCTTCAGAATTTTCAGGTATTTTGTCTTTTTAAGAACTTTAAAATTTCGGGGGCGCCTGGGTGACTCAGTTGGTTAATCAACTGCCTTTGGCTCAGGTCATGATCCTGGAGTCCCGGGATTGAGTCCCTCATCGGGCTCACCGCTCAGCGGGGAGTCTGCTTCTCTCTCTGACCCTCCTCCCTCTCATGCTCTATCTTATTCTCTCTCAAATAAATAAATAAAATCTTTTTTTTTTTTTAAAGATTTTATTTATTTATTTGACAGAGAGAGACACAGCGAGAGAGGGAACACGAGCAGGGGGAGCAGGAGAGGGAGAAGCAGGCTTCCCGCCGAGCAGGGAGCCCGATGCGGGGCTCGATTCCAGGACCCCGGGATCATGACCTGAGCCGAAGGCAGACACTTAACGACTGAGCCACCCAGGCGCCCCAATAAATAAAATCTTAAAAAAAAAAAAAGAACTTTAAAATTTCAAGTGAAATAATAATGAAGGCAACATGTAATATTAAGATTATATTTATGCTTTAACTAATAATTTCTTGTTTTGCTATACCCTTTTAGAGCTTTGGGCACTCCCAATAATGAAGTGTGGCCAGAAGTGGAATCTTTACAGGACTATAAGAATACATTTCCCAAGTGGAAACCAGGAAGCCTGGCATCCCATGTTAAAAACTTGGATGAAAATGGCTTGGATCTGCTCTCGGTAAGGAGACCCTTTATATTGACTTCAGCATTTTTGATTCTGAATGTGCTCAATTCATTTCCTTTACCTGGGAAATAGAAAACCAACATATATTGAGCTAGGCACATAACTATTAGACGCCTGTTATGTTTATTGTATTACTAGCTCCATTTTAGATTCCAAGAAACACGAGTGGTTTTGAGAGGAGGTTTTAGCATTAGTTGTTGTTTGTTTGAGTTTTTAATCTGTTAGGTAGCTACAGATGCTCTGTGAAGGAGAGGCCAGGCTTAATATGCCTTAATTATTTTTAAGTAGCTGGTTCGTAGTAGCCTTCCTTTCTAACTTTTTATCTCGGTGTTTACAACTTTTTAGTTTATCTGAGACATAGGTGTTTTCCTTATTGCTTGATATTTTTAGTTATTGAAGCCTTTTACTGCATGAACTCATGAATTTCTCACTTTGTGCCTCATGTATATCAGAAAGGTTAGTAGAAGGACTAACGTTCTTAAAAATCTTTCCCCTTTACTACATTGCCATTCCCAAGTAATAGTTGTTTTCTTTAAAAGCAAGACAAAAAAATCTATTAGGATAAAATAAATTGTCCTAGGTAGGCCTTTAAGAAGGTAGGCTTTAAGAAAATTGTTTTAGAACAGTATTTAAATATTGAGCTTTTAGACAGAACTAATTTTTATGAATCTCAGCTAATGTAATGACAGAAGAAAATAAGGTTTGTGTAGGTTACTGAACAAAAAAAATATGTATATTGCTCTATTATCCTGTAAACCTTCTAATTGGTCTTTGGGCTCCTTTCAGAATTTATAAATCATTATGCTACCAAATTCAGCTCAGATTTCCAAATTGCTTTATGCTTTAACTAATAATTAAGTGAATTAGTGAAGTCCAAAGTCCTTTATCTGTCATTCACATATTTTATATTATCAGTTGTTGATTTGACTTAGAAAGTGTTCCTTATCCTGGGCCCAATCTGTCTTTTTAACGTCTGTAATTTTTGAACACAAAGAATTTCACTTCAGTCAATGAAACAAAAATCAAATACTGTAAATCATGGTTCCTTAGTCTAGCTGGTATTGACCTCTTGGACTGGATCATGTTTTGATACTAGGGGCTGTCCTGTACATTACAAGATATTTAACAGCATCCCAGTCCTCCATCCCATAGCTACCAGGATCATATTCCTCTCACTTGTGACAACCCAAAATGTCTCCAGACACTGTCATATGTCCCCTGACAGGCAAAGTCTCACCCAGATGAGAACCGCTGCTGTAAATCCTCAGACTTCGTTTTAGATTTAAACTCCTTAGTTCTAAGAACTTGGGCAAGTTACTTAACCCTTGAGCCTCAGTGTCCTCATTGTAAAATGGGACCAGTACTTAGCTTTTGTGGTGAGGATTAAGTAACATCATATGTGCCAAGCACTTAATATAGTGCTTGTTACATGATAAGAGCTCAGAGGGTTACTAGATAGTAAAAGTATATCTAGTCTGCTTATTGATTTGGTTTTCTTTAAGATTAATGTTTAAGATAAAATTTAAGATCAATATTAAACTTTATACAGTCTTTTCTGGTGATGTGTAAATTAAAACTTTAATACTAGGTTGTCTGACTATAATTCATTTACTGACTCATTTTAACTATGTTTATAACACATTGTGCTCTGGTTTTGTTTTTATTTGGAACTTGCTGGAAGCTACAATAGAAACCACTATAGTTAATTGCCACCATTTCAACAATGTTATAAATAACTCAGATGGCCATTTAATTCTCAAAGTAAATGTAATTAACTAGATATCTTTCTTAAATTTATGTCCTGGTTTTAAAGCTATCTCTGAATGCTTGTGTCTTAAAGCATGATTTGTAGCAAAAAGAGGTTGTTGAGATATCTGTAATTTAAGGAATAAGTTATTTTAGAGCTAGAGGGTGAAGTATGGAGGATGAGGCATTTATGTGGTTTGGTATTGAACTAAAGGAAATGTTCATTTAGTTGTTTTTTTTTATTAAAATTATTAACTTATGGCTTATTGGTAGAGAAATTAAGGCTTTATGGAAATTTTTTTTATGGTTCATTTCTTAATAAAAACCTTTTTTGCTTTTTATCTCCCCCCCCCCACACCCCCAGAAAATGTTAGTCTATGATCCTGCCAAACGAATTTCTGGCAAAATGGCACTGAATCATCCATATTTTAATGATTTGGACAATCAGATTAAGAAGATGTAGCTTTCTGACAAAGAGTTTCCCACGTATCAAGAACAGATAGTTATATTTTTACTGCTAACTTTGTCTGCTTTTGTTTTGTGTGTTTTTCTTTTCTTTGTTGTAAACTTAAGCTGTACTTCATCTTCTGATTTCAAAAGTGTAACTTAAAAATGTAAATATTGTTCTATATGAATTTAAATATAATAATTCTGTATATGTTTATAGATCTCACTGTAACAACTTTGTTACCATAATAAAACTATAAATCTAGTTTTGATGTCAGGAATTGCAAAAATTTTGAGTTAATTTAAATCATCGCAAACCTTAGAGTCTGGTTTTCCTGTAGTTGGAACCACTAAAATTTAGGAAAGTGTGCTAAGTTCAAAGTTCGTAAAGCTTTGAAGTGTTTTGATACTCTGAGTGTTTGAGTTTTGTCAGTTTCTTGCCAATTGGTAACTGTTCAACCTGCCTAAAGATGAATTTTTTCTGCTGGTATTTCAATTTATGACCTAAATGTTTAAGCATTCAGAATGAGAAGACTATCCAGATTTGAGAAATGATGCTAAATTTATAGAGGTTTTTAGTAACTTATGAAACTAACATTAGAGCATGCCAAAGTTTTCTAAGTTTTACAGTCAGAGATGAAGGGCTGCTCACAGCAGGGAAGAATAGTTTAGATAATTTATGAACTAGCCTAATTTTAGGTAGGTTATTAAAGTTATTTGTCTAAGTGAATTCTTATGCCTTGGTCAGAGGTAATAACTAGAAAAAGGAGTTGCTCATCTTGGCTTTCAAGTCTGACTTAAAATCTATTTGCAAATTTTGACATAATTTTGCCTTTTAGCAGCCTTAGAAGGTTCTAATATACAAGTATTTAACTAAAATCACTAGCTTTAGGAATTGTTAAATTAATAATGCTGTTTGTTGTGATTCCTATCTATAAGGAGCCTAATTTAAATTATTTGTTATAGCCAAGAGAAATTTCTATAAGAAGTTTTAAACTTTTTCGTGTACATCTATCTGTTATCTAACTATAACCATCTATTTTTCTTCCTGGTTACCTAAGGCTGGAATGGGCATTCCTGTTATTGGTTGCATATGTAATGTGTGATCTACTTAATCTATATTGTCTTGGAATTTTTGCACTCTGTAGGAGAAAGTGTGGTTTTTTTTTTGGCAATGGGATTTGTAAGATGAGAGGTTTGGTGGCCTTGTTCTAGGTCCTTTGGTAGAAGCCAGCCTGCAATTAGAGAATGCAGAACCTAGAGATGGAAGTTGTTTGGGGTCACATTGTAAAGAGTTACGATTTCATGGTGGGAATTTGGTAAATGAAAGGTCACACAAAAGATTTAATTGAGATGGTGAAATGACATACCTACAGACTTGAGTTTTCTTACCTATAAAGAGTTGAACTGGCTCTGTTTTTCAAATTGTGGATTGCAATCCTATAGTGGTTCAGGACCATTCTTAATCATGACCCTCCCCAGTGTAGACTAGAAACTCAGTGTATCTTCTATAATTATTTCTTGGTATTTTGGTTTCAGTGATGTATAGATACATGAGGGTTACAGGTGTTTGGGGCTTTGTGGATTTGGTAGAAGCAGCATGCAGCCTCACTGTGATTGCTCCATGAAAGTCAGTAAATCGTCAATTTAGAACCGACTTTGTGGACCAGGGAAATGAGATGGTGGAACAAGTGCGATCAACTGCTATAATGAGCATCCTACTTATTTGTGGAGTCCGACGAAAGTGTTTATGTCAGCTTCAGTGGCTGGGTGAGAAGCTACTGAATTGGGTCCTCCCTCATCTCATGCATATTTTTTAATTGGCTTGTGCTATGGTACTTCTGATTAATTTTAAAATGGAATGTGTCTCTGGGCCAGTAATTCTCCAATCTGTTGTACACTAGAAACACCTGAGACTAATTCTAGTCCTACCATGAACAATTCTGAAGTTGAAAACTGGGAAATGTGTCCTGGAAACTATTTTTTTCAGAAGTTGCCCAAGCTGATTCTGATGCCAGTTATCAGTCGGTGGGGAGTTTAACGAATTTGGACCTACATCTAGTTTTAGTTGTCTTAAAACTTCATGGCATCATGCAGTATCTTTAACTTGTTCTATTTCTGTTTCAGTCTGTACTCTTTAGTGAGGGGAGATAGCTATATATTTTGTCACCAGTGTAAGATTTTCATATACTTGAGTATATAGCACTGTGACAATTGCCGTATGTTAGCATTGTCCCTAGTATTTACAGGAGGGTTTTTTTTTGTTTGTTTGTTTGTTTTTTGAGTTTAAATATATAAGCAGTTAATACAGAGGTTAATACATAATGTACAATAAAATCTTGGGGACATACATATATAAATTTAATGTTTTGGGGAAAATGATAGAATTTTAGAGTTGAGTTAATAAGATGGCCCAATAAGAGGTCTTTTGGGGACTTGGATTAACAGGCTTAAATAACTGTTAAATAGCAAAATAATTTTTAACTGGAAAATTCTGTTGAATGGAACAAACTTTTTATATCGGTGCCGTTAGCAAACTGTACTTTATAATAGGGTCAACTTCAGGCCCATCGCTTAAGTAATTGCCACATTCAAACTGGAGGCATTGCATAGGACCATAGAGACATTTTGCAGGTGGATGGAACAGAGACAACTAGGAATGTGTGTGGAGTGAAGAGAGTAGTGGGCATTGTTTAAATAGGGTTGGGCCAAAATGGATAGAGTATTGAATGACTAAAGGGAAAGGGAAGGATGGAGGGATAAAAAGTAAAGACCTAGAAGAGGGAGAAGTATTTCTGACT